CACCAAGCTGTGTGATGCGGTCAATACACTGGAGGGAAGGGATAAACTCCAGAGGGACCTTGACAGGCTTGAGAGGCAGCCCTGTGCGAACCTCATGAAGTTCAACAAGGCCAAGTGCAAGGTCCTGCACATGGGTTGGGGCAATCCCAAATACAAGTACAGGTGGGCATAGAGTGGCTTAAGAGCAGCCCTGAGGAGAAGGACTTGGGGGCTGCTGGTTGATGAGAGGCTCACCCAGCAGTGTGTGCTCGCAGCCCAGAAGAAAGAGGCCACAAAAATGATCCGAGGGCTGGAACACCTCTCCTGTGAGGAAAGGCTGAGAGAGTTGGGGCTGTTCAGCCTGGAGAAGAGAAGGCTCTGGGGAGACCTTAGAGCAGCCTTCCAGTACCTGAAGGGGCCTACAAGAAAGCTGGAGGGAGACTTTTTACAAGGGTCTGTAGTGACAGGATAAGGGGTAATGGCCTTAAGCTGAAAGAGGGTAGATGCAGATCAGACATAAGAAATACATTCTTTACAGTGAGGGTGGTGAGGCACTGGCACAGGTTGCCCAGAGAAGCTGCGGCTGCCCCCTCCCTGGAAGAGTTCAAGGCCAGGTTTGACAGGGCTTGGAGCAACCTGGTCTGGTGGAAAGTGTTCCTGCCTATGGCAGAGGGGTTGGAACTTGATGATCTATAAGGTCCCTTCCAACCCAAACCATTCTATGATTCTATGATCAGAAAACCTCCAATTCAAAGTTAGCAATGAAATATCTGGGAATACTCTCAATATATATACATTGACAACTGAGCACCAAATTTACATCACAAAGGAATATAAGCCTAACAGCCAAATGTGGCAAATAGCTTCCTGATCTTAAAGTAATAAACATTCTATTCAAAACTATGGAAGAAACAGTAACAATTCCAGCTTTGTTGAGAAAGGTCAGCTTTAATGCATCTGGACAGAATGGTACAGAGCCGACTCCTTTAATCTTTCTCCTGCCCTTTCACAGTCAGCCAGGAGATTCTATTTTACATAAACTTTATTCTCAAGGACACAACGTCTTTTTGGTTCTCCGCTCATTTTTAGTGGTTGTGAACAGTAGTGGATATATCATCATCACATTAACACATTAATGTTATAATGCTTCATAAATAGTAACAGTTAAGGACATCTACACGGCTGGCTTCCTCATATCCTGACACTATGCCCTCTTAACTGCTTGACTTGGTCATTCTGTTGGCAATGGCCAAAGCTGCACTACTTGCTTGCCTTTTATGGATAGTTTTCCTGACTCTAAGGCCTCCGTGTTGTATTCCTTACCTGAAACTGAAGTGGAAATAGCTATAAAAGTTTCTCTGACAAATACAAAACCGAGGTGTTGTGTGGCCCTGCAATACTGAGAAATACAGCTACTCATCCAACTTTGTCACTATTGCAAAGATGGTAACTTGTAAAAGTTTTCTCACATACATTCTAACATGACAGACATTGAACAAGATCAGAAGATCAGAGCCTCTAAGAACTCTAAAAGGAATCTGGATCATATTTCTTTACTTAGTATTTCATGGTGAAAATAATCTCACCCCTTAAATGCAGGTCATTAAAAATGTTATCATAGCTATTAGCAAATGATTCATTTTTCATCTTGTAAGAGAAATTAATTGCCCACTCAAGTCTGTGGCAGAGATATCTGGAGGTCGGTCTCCCTTCTGCAATCTCAGTGCTGCATATTTCATTTCAGAAAGCCAGTCAGCTTGCAGCAGGCACAGAACATTGCTGGAGTTCGGCATCTCTCGGAGTTCAAACTTCTCTTGGAGGATGTTAGATACGGTCACTGAATGGCACTTCTTGACATAACAGGAATTTTGGTGGAAGTTGAAGTATGAATAAAGAAAAGAAGCAGCCAATATGATAGCAGAGTTGTTTTTTTTTAAAAAACCTGCACTACATAAAAGGTCCCAGATCACTATTGCTTACAAAACTTTTTCAGTGTAGTCAGAAAATCAGATATTTTGGTTTGTATCCGTAGACAGGCATTCCAAAAGAGTAGTTTCCTTTCAAAAAAGGAGGATATGGTTTTGCTTAATTTCTGAGTTTGATACTTGTACCAAGCAGCTAAGAAATACGTAAGTACATATACATACTCTAAAAAAGGTGAAATCAGCTGTTTGAATCTTCTAAATTCCAATACCATGATAGTTACAAAAAGCAGAAGCAGATTCCTTAAGTCTATTTTTCTTCCCATTTTAGTCTTAAATATGTATACATACATTTATGGTGGGTTGACCCTGCCTGGATGCCAAGTACACACCACAGCCACTCTCTCACTGTCCCTCCTCAACTGGACAGCAGAGATAAAATATACCAAAAGGCTCACGGGTCAAGATAAGGACAGGGAGAGATCACTCACCAGTTACTGTCACAGGCAAAACAGACTCAACTTAGGGAAAATTAATTTAATTTACCAATCAAATCAGAGTAGGGTAATGAGAAATAAAACTAAAACTTAAAACACCTTCCCCCCACGCCTCCCTCCTTACAGGGTTCAACTTCACTCTTGATTTTATCTCCCTCCTCCCCCAAAGTGGCACAGCGGGATGGGGAATGGGGGCTGTGGTCAGTTCATCGCATGTTGTCTCTGCTGCTCCTTCCCCCTCACACTCTGCCCCTGCTCCAGCGTGGGGTCCCTCTCACGGGAGACAGTCCTCCACGAACTCCAACATGAGTCCTTCCCACAGGCTGCAGTTCCTCATGCACTGCTCCAGCGTGGGTGCAGTCCTTCAGGCACAGCCTGCTCCAGCACGGGCTCACCACAGGGTCACAAGCCCCGCCAGCAAACCTCCTCCAGCCTGCGCTCCTCTCCCCACAGGTCCTGCCAGAAGCCTGCTCCAGCACTGGTCCCCACGGACAGTCTCACTCCCCTCTCTGGCTGCAAATTGCTGTTACGCAGCAACTTTCTCCCCTTCTTAAGTCTCTTACCCCAGAGGCACTACCACCATCCCTGATGGGCTCGGACTTGGCCAGTGTCAGGTCCGTCTTGGGGCTGGCTGGCACTGGCTCTGTTGGACACGTGTGAAGCTTCCTGCAGCTTCTCACAGAAGCCAGCCCTGTAGCCCCTCCGCTACCAAAACCTTGCCAAGCAAACCCAATACAATATTGTAGACAAAAATACATCTATGTGGAATATTGTATTTTTCCTCTGTTGAGAGGAAGAAAAATGTTAACTTTCCTCTGTTTAGAACTTCATACAACATGTAGGCAGATAGATAAGGTAGTCTGAATATAACTCTGGAGCTTCTAAATCTGTTTCCTATGAACAGGTGGATACACAGATGGGCTAAAACTGATGATGGTTTCAAACGTCTGTAGGGTTACCCCAACCACCATAACAGTAGCTTGATTCAGCAATAATGGTTACTTTTCTGTTACTCATGCCAGAAGAGCATTACAACCCTGACTACACCTGAAGACAGCATTGCAAGCCTTGCAAATTTCAGGACATCTACTAATAACAAGGGCAATTTCTTTTATGCAGCCTGATACCTGAAAAGAAATGTATTTCAGCTTTTTTTCAGAGAAAGATCCAATTTGCTGATCGTTTTCTGCCAGCCTTTGTGTCCACTACCATGTGCATCTAGTTAGCAAGTCTCTTTATTAACGCTTCCCATCATCTTTACAAGTATGAGATGAAGCTACACTTAATAATTAGTTTCAGGTATTCTTTCATGTCACTTCAGCACACTCTAGCAACATTCCTACTGTGCAATATTACTACTGTGCTTCGTTTTTAATATACTTGAGCCAGAAACTGACACATGACCAGATATGAAAATCAGTTATTTTTTTAAATGGAACTGCTGTAGACTAGCTCATCACATCATCACAAACCTAAAAATGTACCATAATTCATCTTCTGCTTCAGAGAGAGTCTTTTCTTAAAAGCCCACTGAGGAAAAGCTGAAAGGACAGAGCATTTCACGTATAAAAGATAACATCATAAATGTTACTGATGACAGGAAGCTACTAAAATTTTAAGGAACACGGCCCATGAATTAATCAAAACAATAAACACGCATTTGTTGTAAATAATACCACAGATCCTACTTAAAAGGAGAAAAAACCACATGTAATCAAGCAAGCTAGGACAAAGGTTGGCGATTTATATCATCATTGTTTATTTCTACTGCTCTACACTATAATTCTTGATCAATGAGTAAACTCTAAACAAGAAAGCAAGGTTGTTCTACAAGGAAGAGAAGCAATGCTGACCATATCTACAGCACAAACTGGTTCAGGTATGAAGGCCAGCATCAGCAAGTTACAAAGACATGATGTTAGACAAGCACGCTATACTGAAACATAAAGGCAAATGATGTTTTACTGGCAGTCAGACATAAATAACTTATGTCTGACAGTTTCTAAACAGCAAGTGGTAACTACAGGAAAAGAGTAATTTTCAAGCAGCAAACTGTGCAACTTCTGTTTAACTTGTATTTTAATAGTTAAATGTGTAACACCTATCTTTTTTCCTGAACTTTGACACAAATCATTAATTTAAGGGAACTCCCGATAGCCTGTATTTCTGAAAAGTAAAAGTAAAAAATAATAAGACACAAATATTAATATTATTATGGTAGTGACAAACAGACCTTTTGGTATTCACACAAAAGGAAGCACTCTTAGCTGAAATGGACTTTCTCAAACACCGCACTTACATTTTGAAAATGTGTAGAAGCTTACCTAAGAGGAATGCTAACGTAAATATTCAATTAAATAGCTTTTGCTTTTTAAAGAAATGGCAAGAATTTCTTCTGGTCCAAACTGGTAGCAGGTAATTGTTCCTGTTTCAAAGGAAATATTGTACACCACTGATACAAGGGGGAGTTTTAATCCATGACAATACACAAAGATCAGAAGTCACGATGTACTTCAAGCTGCACAAATTGTTTCCTGTAGAGGAACAAAATAATTATCAAGTAAAACACGCACTTAGTAATGATAGAAGTCAAGAATTTTACCTGCTAGGCAGCAACATACAGTCAATGTCAGGTCTCTTTGTCTTGGGAATGGCATATAGTGGATACCTGTCACCATGTCGAATCAACACTTGAACTGATACTAGCTTAAAATAATGAGGTGCATGACCTAAAGCAAAGGAGAGGGGAGGGGAAAAAAAAAAAGCTTAAAATATTAAGTAAATGTTACCTAAATTTTTCCCCTGAACATGTTTTTTTAAGAAAAAAAGCAGGTATAATTAGCTTGATAGCTTTGGTATTGCAATGAAAGAATACCTCCATAAGAAGTGATAACTTACCATCCCAAGAAAGATTTCACTTTAAATTGCAAGACAAATTATACAAGACTCAGGTGTTTATCACATTCTCCATAGTACATCTAAAGTACAACCACCATACAAGACATTATTCAAGCACTGAACTCTGCCAACACAGTAAGGTTGCCATACCTTTATGACACCTCTCTTCCAGACCCCTATCATAATGACTTATTTTTGCAGCATGCTTAATTTGGAGCTTTTTGACATACTAGTTTGCAATTTATTTTACATGTATTAGTGGGGTATGCTAATAAGGGAGTTCATTCAGACTAACTTGCTGCTACAGCTGCTATAGGGTCAAGAATGCAAATGTGCCTTCTAGCTGACTATGTCTAATGGTTTGGTGTTCCAAAATTAATTACTTCTGGGGTTTTTTTTCCAGAATGCCAAGTCAACTGTCTTTCAGATGTTAATAATAATTTGCAATCCAGCTCACCTGTAATAAGAATTACAATTCAAATATTAAATATCTATATCACTCCTATGCCTTTCAATTTTAGACCTCCAGTTGTCCACTGACTGGAAACAGAACCTCTTCCAAAAATCAAGGCAACAGAGAGGATACAAAGGGAACGAAGGAAGAACCGCATATATTTTGAATGATTTAACATAATTCAGCAACCAGCTAGCATTTGCTGTACCTTCTCTAAGCACCAAGGAACTGACAACACACAAAGGTATTGTTTCCAACGACAGCACGTAGAAACAAGCAACTAAACTGCGGTTTGCGTTCACAAAGCTCACCTTCCATGCTGCGTTCAGCAATGGTGGGAATATTGCAGTACACACGAGCTTCATAAACAGGATCTATTGCAGGAGGCTCGGTCAGCAAACCAGGCATTATTCTCTTTCGGCTCTTAGGATTCAGCCCATCTTCCCTGATGGGGTTGACTGGGATTAAATGCACTGAAAGATACAAAACATACACCATATGCCTTTAGGAGGGTTTAAGGACATATAGGACTGGCTTTTGTTTGTTTGTTTGTTTGTTTGTTTTGAAGTAAATATGCACAAAGGCTAAGGTTTCTATGAAAGGATGCCACTCTACAGTATAGATCTTTGTTGTGAATTTTTCATGATTTATATAATGAAGAAGGCAAGCCCACAGAGCTCTTCAGCAAAGTCAATACCTGGCTAAGACTGCAGAAACACATCCACATCTGGAACAACTCTGTCTTTCGCAATCTTTTGAAGCTGCTTTTCCTGTAAGTCTCTCAGGAAGCTCTAAGAGCATGAATAGGAAGAAAACGGCCATAACAGCCCAGCTGTCTGTCATCATTTTAACTTGAAAACTGACACTGAAGGACATCAGCAAAAGACACAGCACAGTTATGATGATGGTACTACAAACCATTGGGAACACACAGTAGTCAAGATTGAAGGGACTCGATTTTCCATCGTTTTCCTTACTAATCCCTGCCCTAAAATGTCTACCTTGCCAGGCTTAAATAGTCTGACCTATCTAAAGAAAATGCACACAAAATATATTTGTCGAAATGTAACTGAAACTACCACAAAAAATGTTAAATAAAACAAAATGCAATTAACATTCATGCACAGCAGGGAAATTACCAGAAATACCACCACTAGTCTTCTGAGATGTAGACGCATGCTGAGACATATCTGAATTTAAGGCCAGAGTTGTATTGACAATGTCTCTTTACCTTGTCTGGATGTGAAAGCACTAGCTAATTTAGGATTCTTACAAGACTACACACATAATAATGAATACCCACATTTGTTTTTTCTACTAGTATTTACTGGTATTTGAACAGTGGCAGATTTAGAGGTGAAAATACAGAGTGAAAGTGTTCATGTTTTTTCCCCTAATAGTATTCTGTGGTGAAAGGAAAAAAGAAATAAAGATGAGACAATTTCAAAGCAGAATTTTACTAATTCTTCTAGGTCTTCAGTTGCATCTTGATTCCCAATCCTAATTTTAGATGTAAATTTGTCCCCAGTAGAGGACAAATGTGTTTGTGCACACAAAGAACATCAATGAAGAAGCAAACTGAAGTGAAACACACAAAGATTTTAAGAGCATGCAGCCCTTTATGTAACACAGACTCTTCATTCTTACACTACAATAGACTACTTTACATATTTTAATGTGGTTTCTCTTTGCCTGCCAAAACCACAATTCAAGCATTTTCCATACCCTTACTAGTGCTGTTGACACAGCTAATACTCACAAAGTGCACTGACTTTAAATTTTTCCTTAAGCTGCTTCAAGTTTTGCATACAACTGCCCACAGGACTGTGCTTGGCAAGAATATTAAACTGTAATTTTGACTTTGGCCATCTAAACTGCAGGGCTCAGCTGCGATTCCAACACTTATTTATCAGATTCGTTTTTTAGAATCATGAAATATCTCCAGTTGGAAGGGACCCATAATGATCATAGAGTCCAATCCCCTGCTCCTCGCAGGACCACCTAAAACTAAATCACATGACTAAAAGAATTGTTCAGATGATCCTTTCAGATCCTTCCACACGAAGGCTCCCATCATTGTGAGATACTGCAAACCACTTACCAAGAAACTCCAGCAGTAACACAGAGCCTTGGCAATATCTATCAGAGGTTGATAACTGGCTCGAAGGGGGCTTGCAGCACATTTGTGTTTGGTATATAAACCCCAAACCTAAGAATGTGTTACAACAGCTACCGGCCTCTGCAAATAAACAGCATTAGAAGACAGTAGTTGCCTAACGAGTATAAATGGGTAATTACAGCAGTTACATTATATTGGTCAAGTTTCCTAGCCAGAAAAGGTTAGGAGCAACAACTTTCAGCTTTCTGTTAACTATTGTCTCTAGAGCAACCCACAACATTGCTACTGCTCACTTAATGTCACAAAAGCACACAGAGTTGGCTTAAGTACTCACGGAGGTAATACAACTCAATTCAGCTTTGACCCATGACTGTTTCAGAAGATAGGGGAACCCATGCCCCAATAGCAACAGCTATGAACTCTGGTGCTAAAATTTGGTTGGGAGATTTAAAAGCAAAATAAGGAACCTATTTTTTTATCTAAATCAGTTTTAACTACAAAAAACCTGAACAGATCACATTTTTGCACTGAGACTATTAACTACAGCAGTCAGCAGAGGTATACATTATCTTATTAAGATCAAGTGCCTACAATTCATGGGGCCAAATATTTTCCTTGGAGATAGCAAGTCTCATTTCTAATCAAACTAGTTGAAGAAATACTTTAACACTGCCAGACAAATTTAAGAATAAGGAAAAGCACTAAATATTAAAGAGAAGAATCTACTCTATTTCAAATATTAAAAATAAACCTGAACATTAAAAATAGCACCTACAGGATTACCAGATTACATGTTTGAAGTTTAAAAAGCCACTGACAGAACACCCTTAAAGGAGACTCTCAATTCAACACAGCAGTTATGGGTGCAACTACAGACTATTTTGTGGTCTGGAAATGGACTTGGATTAGGTATAACAATGGTTCAGGTCATTAATTTTTTTTAAAAAGTTTATTGAAAACTGTCCTATTCTAAATGCTCCTGCTAACTACATTTAGTAATCACTTAGTAATAGCTGCTAAATATTGCCTTTACTGTATAGTGAATAAGCTTGGCTTATACCAGGGAAGAAGGAGGAATGCAAAATTTCCCTACCAAACTACTACCACCCTGTCCACGTCCAAGTATCTCAGATAGGGACTGGCTAAAGGAGCTTCTAACATTGAACCCACCTGGGACATAACCATGTTGTCTGGATTTCTGATCATATTTGAGCAACCTGATGTAGTGAAAAATATCCCTGCCCATGGCAGGGGAATTGGACTAGGTTATATTTAAAAGGTCCTTTCCAACACAAACCATTCTATGATTTGACTTGAATGATTCAAATTGTTTGTAGGTTTGAGAAAGAAAATTATCAAGAAGGTCAAAACACTCCAGTCATTTAAATAAGCACTGTCATAACCAAACTACCTATGCAAATACTCAGGTCTTCTACTTAAGTACGTTAAAGAGAAAAAGAAAAAAAAACCACGATCTGGGCAGCAGTCGCATCAGTCTAGGCAGTCTGCTGGAAATTTCCACTGAATGAACACAAAAAATAGCAAGTATTTCAGAGGGGGTGGGGGCAGGTGTTACAAGACCAAGGAGAGATGAATTCCAGTTGGAAAGCTGCCTTCTGTTTGCTCAGCCTCATCAGCACAGTGACCCTAAAGAGCCCAGCCAGCAAGGCTGAAGCTCCTCACAAGCCGGAACAATCCTGCAGTTTCAATGCTTTGGACCCCAAGTAATGCAGCCCCTCTTCATACTTCTGTCTGGGCCAAACAATGGCAGAGGTATTTGCCATATTGATGGCTAAAGTCCATTGTCTCTCAGCTGTTTTTTCATCTTCTGCCACTCCCTGGACATTCTTAGTGCTTCCCGCATTTATGATGTTTCTGATAATGGCTGTCTTCATTTACGCTGCTTCCTAGCTGCCAAGTCCTTTACATGGCTCACCCTCTCCAGCTCTCTACTGTATGGAAGGCTCAAATTGCTCTTCCATTTTGGTACCCCTTACACCACTTTGAGCAGTTATTTAAAGCTCTTTGAAGAGCTGACTGTCTCTCTGTATTTAAGTATTTAATTACTGAAAGTCCTCCTCTGCAGTGTCAATCCCACCATTGTCTCCCCAAGTGGGTTTGCTGGCCCATATGTAACCAGCGAACCTCCAAGTAATATAGGACTGACACAGTTCAGTGGAGAAAAGGAAGTAAAAAAAAAAAAAACCAAGTCCCTCATATGGAGTTGAAATTAATCTTTTTTCCAAACTCTGTTCTGCTCTTTCAGCTGTAAATCATTATAAGATCAGAATTCTATTATGCAGCTTTCACATGACTTTTTATAGCTTAGCATTATTTTATATGACTTGTCCTATTAGTTCACAGTAACATGCACTTGGCCCAAAAGTCTGCCAATGTGTGTATAGTCATACTTCAATCTTTGATTCAGTGATTTTTTGAACAGGATTTTTACACTGCTGTGCTTTTCAAAGCTCATGTTTTACTATGACAGGAATACAACAACATAAAACAGAAATGAAAGAGATGATTTTGATGTGCACTTCCCACAGTCAGGGCAGTTAATCATATATGTCTTAAAACATATTTGGTGATCTAAATGAAAACTTTGCCAACACAAACTATAAAGAATACACACATATTATTATAGAGGTAGTTTGACAACAAAAAAGGAAATAAAATATATTTTCTTTCCCAATATTCGTAAGCTTATTTTTAAAACTAAAGAAGCTACATCGAAACTACTTTGACATATTAATTTTGAAAAAATTCTATCTAGGAAACAAGTAGGTGGCTTACAGAAACAATGAAATGAAAGACACCTCAATGCAACTCTGCTCGGTGTACCACCAAGTTAAAATTGTTTGAAACACAAAACTAAACACATGGGCCAGCATCAGACAAAAGTAAGACCAGATTATACAGCCCAACAGCAAGCGCAGTCCTGCAAGAGACAGAGGGGCACTGACCACATGGCAGAATAGCTAAATACTGCTGTAGAATCACTCCTTCAAGAATTTTTGCAGCTCTAAACTGAGATATGATTTTTTTAAGTTGACAAAACTCAGAGGAAATAAAAGCCAAACTCTGATAGTAAGTTTAATCAAACAAGACTCCAGTAATTTTTATTTTAATCAAACCACAGAGCCTGAAGACCAAATTTTAAAATTAACAGTTTGACTAAGAACTATCCTTATGAACAAAATCAATGGCATCTGAAATATTATGATGCATGGTTTTATTCTCAGTGTACATTAAATATGACCTATGTAAAGAGCAAGAAGCTAACTTGTCTGACTTCCATGCCTCCCCCATCACTGAATGCCACAAAATATACCAAAAAAGACAAATATGAGA